TTTTTTTTTTTTTTTTTTGTGCTAGCTTGATGTTCAGATGTTGGGTTGAAGCTTTGAGTATTGTCTGCTTTGTGTTTTCCCCCTTTGGGAAGATGAGTCTCATTTGTGGCAACTGTAGAGGTACAGCACAGGACAGACAGACAAGGTCCTTGCTGTTGTGAAGCTTTCAGTCTGAGATCAAGTGCCAACATGGCTTAAAAGGGGAATACAGGGAATTTATTACAATCAGTGAATTTCCAGTGAATTGGAAATTTTCTGAGAGGTACTGGTGCTGCATTTGACCTGGGAGTTGGATGCACTGAGGCTACTCTTTCCCAGCTCCTTCCCATGGACCCTGGAGAGATTTGGCTTCCACCCAGATAACTTAGAACCAGGTTTGGGTGATGCAACTGTAATGCTTGGGGATTTTAATGTAAAAGTGACTATTTGTGTTACTGCAGTGTTTTTGGTTCATACATAATACCCAGAAGCAGCAGGCTTGACTAATATGGAACCTGAATTAGGTAGAGACACCTTTACCAAATAACACAAAAGTAATGAAAATTGGGTATTTGTGGAACGTTTGGGGCAGCAAACCTTTTTTTTTTTTTTTTTTTTTTTTGAGAGAGAGAGAGAATTTTTTAGTTTTTGGCAGACACAACATCTTTGTATGTGGTGCTGAGGATCGAACCCGGGCCGCACGCTTGCCAGGCGAGTGCACTACCGCTTGAGCCACATCCCCAGCCTGCAAACCTTTTATTTAACTTGGCTTTTTTAAAAGAAAATTGCTTTGGAGATTAGGGAACAGCAGTAGAGAATCTTCAGCACCACTGGAAGTTGGGTAGGGAAGGAGGAATGTGTTGAAAATTCCAGCCTGTGCGGCAAGCCTATCTTATATAACATTAGGTTGTTTGGGATGCCAGTGACTGTTCTGTCAGACACTGAGATCATCCTGGGTCTTGCTCCAGAAAACCAGATTTGCCAGGTGACTTGATCAGTCTCCAATGTGTGAGTCTTGTCTGTCTACCCTTGACTCTGAGCTGGCTAGGTGACTGTTGGTTATTCCTGGGACAGGTGCTGGGTAGGCCAGGTTTCAGCATCGCAGACAAGAAGCGCAGGACAGGCTGCATTGGGGCCAAACACAGAATCAGCAAAGAGGAGGCCATGCGCTGGTTCCAGCAGAAGGTAAAGCTGATGGATCTCAAGTGAAGTGGTGGTGGATGGAGTTGGGATTTGGGGGTGCAAAACATATGGTACTATTTGGTGGGTAGCTTCTTTAAGGAGAGAGAGTATTTGGGCAGCTTGGCAAATGTGGGTTTCTGGGGTTGGTGATTTAAAAGAACCCCCAGAACTGTGAATATGGGTAGCTGGAAGGGGAGGGATATGGCTTTAAAAGGAACCCCCTTTTTTCAGGTATAGTGTAGTGAGCACAGTATGGCAATTGTTAGTTGGCTTCCCATTTAATCCAGAAACAACATGGGATTCAGAAGTTCATGTATTAGTTTTGAATTCTCTGGTGTTAGCCTTTGCTGCAATCATTGCTGTTGCCTCCTTTTCTGAAAAAAAAATAAAAATCTCTTCTCTTTCAGTATGATGGGATCATCCTTCCTGGCAAATAAATTCCCGTTTCTATCCAAAAGGCCAATAAAACATTTTCAGTGAAATGTACATTACTGTTGTGTGTTCTGTGAAAGGAGTCTGGCCATATTCAAGTCCCTGGATCTCAAGCCACTTAAAGCTTCGATGGGAATAGCTGGTAAAAACCCTGTTCTCCGTTTGGATGTCAGTGTTTCTTGGCAGATCCAAGTCCAAGTGTTGTCTGTGCTTACCACACCCTTCTAGGTGATGCTGTGGTGCAATAGTCCATGTAAACTGGTTTTAAAAAGAGGGCATGGTTGGGGCTGGGGTGGATTTAGGGTCTTGATTAAAGGTAGGGTGCAGTTCTCCCCTGTTCCTGGGAGCTCCCTTGTGTTCAGGGATTTGGTGTGTATGGAATGGATCACAGGCTTTGGTTTGAGCTCGAAATTAAATGTTGGCTTAACTTCAGACTTGGTTGCCTTTAAAATGAGAATCTGTTTTTTGAAAAGCAGAGTAAGTAGATAAGAACAGTCTAGATTTGATTCCCAGCCTTTTATTACCTTGAGTGAGTTAGGAATCTTCCTCAGTTCTTATCTATATCATGGAGGAAATAATAACAATATTCTTTGTTTTTCCCTTAATAACGATATTCTCTAAAGGGTTAGTTTCATACTGAAACAATGCTTAAGACTAGTGATACGTTAATTTGGGGAGGGGGTTGCTGGGGATTTAACCTAGGAGGGCTTAACCACTGAGCCACATCTCCAGTCCTTTTTGTTTGTTTTTGAGATGGCCTCACTAAGTTGCTGAGGTTGGCTTGGAACTTGTGATCCTCCTGCCTTGGCCTCCCAAGCTGCTGGGATTACAGGCTTGCACCACCGTGCCTCATTTAGTCTTTTTTTTTTTTTTTTTTTTTAAGAGAGAGAGGAGAGAGAATTTTCAATATTCATTTTTCAGTTCTCGGCGGACACAACATCCTTGTTGGCATGTGGTGCTGAGGATCGAACCCGGGTCGCACGCATACCAGGCGAGCGCGCTACCGCTTGAGCCACATCCCCAGCCCCTCATTTAATCTTTGTGTTTTGGTAAATGAAAAACATTACTCTTAAAAGCTTCCCCTCCCTTAGTGTATAAGTAGAGTATTTATTTGTTGCTTATAGTGATTTATCATATGACTTAGAGCAGTAATCAAAAGGTGTCATTTCTGTGGCCATTAGGCTGGATTTGGCTATTGAAATAAATCATCATTCTAGGTTTGGGGCTTAAATTTTTAGTACATTCTGATTCTGTTCAATGATTTACTCCTTTTGATTGGTTCAACTTTTTTCTGTTCATGCCTTTGTAGGCGTTTTTAAGCCTGGAGGCTATTCGGTGTGCCTAATTTTTAGACCAATTGGTTAAAAGAAAGACTCATAGACTATGTTACCACATACTTTTTATTTCACTTACACATGTATATTCACTTCTAATATTGTAGGGCCACCATCTCATAAATGCAGTAAAGATGGAGTAAAGGAGAACGATTTTTGTGATTTACCTTCATTTTTTTAAGGGGGAGCCTGCCTGGTTTTATTAACTTCAAAATTAAATAATGGCTACAACTAGAATAAATATTTGTGAACAAACAAGGTGGTGGGTGGGTGGCTGAGTGCAGAGGGAAGTGGGCATGAGTTTTACAGAGGTGGAACACATTCTGATCTCATCAAAAGCATTGCAGAAATAGAAAATGCACAGTCCTGTTGCTACCACCATCCTCTTGCACTAACTGTTTTTAGACTTTACTCTATTTTTTAATTTTTTGTGTTGCTGTTTAATTTTAACAATATAGACCTGTCTGAACTTAATTTGGTCCTGCTGTATGTGTGCTCAGTTGACTGCCCATGTTAAAAATAGGAAACTACCTGGGTTTCTGGCCCAGTGGCAATAGCACTTTTAGGAGTTAAGAAATCTAACTGATTTTAGTCCCGGCTTTAACTAGTAGTGAGATTTTGGGTGAGTCATGAAGCATCTGGGGACAAGAACAAGTGAGGACACATGCCTTTCTTATGTAGAGCAGCCAGTGGCAGAACATTTGGCCCCCTTTCTGGTTTAGAAGCTTGACCTCCAAGCAAGTATCCCATTGGGGTCTAAAGCGTTTGTGTTTGGGGTTGAGCTTTTGGCAAATGGAAAGATAGGATCACTTGGAAGTAGGTAAAACTTCTGGACCCCACCTCAGATTTTGTGAATTAGTCTGCATTTTAGCAAGATCTGCAGGTTGTTTATATGCATGTACTCCGAAGTGTACAAGCACTGCCCACATTCTAATGCCAGAAGAAATGGGAGATGGAATGATGTCCATAGAGATTTCTTTAATGAGTTTTAGTTTTATGAAGTTCTTGTTTATGGTTTTTTCCCCACCCCCGTTTCTTCAACTGTTAACCTATGAAATTTTTGACATTGTTAGGTAATCCTGTGCCTCAATCTTGAATTGTGATTGTCATTGGAGTAAGATGGTGGGCATCTCATCTATCCCAATAGTAGGCCCCAAAATGCTGTGCTACTTTGCTGAATGAATGTTCTGCAGTGAACCTTTAGGGCAGAGTTCTCAAGAGGCTGAGATAATATTGCCTAGCTCCCACCCTGAGGCATTTGAAAATTTATAGGCCTGGGATTCTTACCACCTTAACTTGGTATGTGCCTGCATGTTGGAGAAACCAGAGGTTCTGCCACAAGGATAATCCCATATAATGAGTATGTAAAGTACTATAGACATGGATAAAGGGTGGCCACTGATACATAAATATATGATGGGGCCACACGTCTGTGCACACTAGGAGCTCCCATTTTGGTTAAGAAACAGCACTTAGCCCATATAACCAGAAAGCAAGGCAGGAGGGAGTCAGTCCAGCTAATGGGGCCAGGTCACAGTACTGGGAGTCCACCATCTGAGGCTCTGCTGCAGAAGCTGGGACACCAATTAGGTAGTCCATGTAGGATGGCCAAAGAGGAGATTAAAATTTAGGTTAAGAGCAATCTAGGAATCTTCATAAGTGATCAAAACTTGGTTGGGTGCCAGGTGCGGTTGGCACAACTGCAATCCCGAGGCTCGGGAACCTGAGGCAGGAGGCTTGTGAGTTCAAAACCAGCCTTAGCAACTCAGCAAGGCCCTATACATTTTAGTGAGACCTGTCTCTAAATTGCTGGTACCTAAATAAATAAATAAATAAATAAAACTTGCACTGGAGCTGTAACTCCGTAGAGTGCTTACCTAGCATGCGTGAAGCATAAACCAATTTAAAAGGTGTCAGCCCGATTCGGTGGCACACACCTGTAATCCCAGCAAACTGAGGCAGAATGGTCATAAATTCAAGACCAACCTAAGCAATTTAGCAAGGAAAAAGTCTGGGAATGTAGCTCGGTATTAGAGCATCACTGGGTTAAATCCCCAATACTGCAAAACAAAAGTGTCTCTGGGTGCAAGTTACTGTTGAAAATCAATCTACAAGAATTGTCTTTATGCTAAGTAGTTGTACAGGAATTATCACACAAGATAGTAGGTTGTCATTCCCCAATGGAAAGCAAACAGCTAATGATGGTTTAAAGGCTTTGTTTGTGTCCTTTTTTTTTTTTTTTTTTTTTGGTGATAGCATGGATTGACCCTAGGGACACTTTACCATTGAGCTACATTCCAGCCCTTTAAAAAATGTTTTCATATTATAGTGGTTGTGTAGTACTCCATTTTAGGAACGTGTAGGACATGTTGCCTTCTCTACAGCCTGCATTGAATGTCTGACCTGTCCCAGTAGAAGCTGTCCTATCCCATTGTCTTATCCCCCTGCCCAATATGTACCTACTTTGTTCTTGCAAGCATCTCAGCAGTGAGTTTTATTATGACTTTTTTTTAAGAGAGAGAGTTTCAATATTTTTCAGTTTTTGGCAGACACATCTTTGTAGGTAGTGCTGAGGATTGAACCCGGGCCGCACACATGCCAGGTGAGCGCGCTACCGCTTGAGCCACATCTCCAGCCTCTTATTATGACTCTTGCTAGCAGTGATAATCAAGGATGAGGACTGCCACTGGTTGCAGCCTCTCTGGGCCTCTAAAGTGGAGCCTGCTGCTTTTGCCTTTTCCCACAGCTTAACCAGTCACTAGTTCTAACCTGTTAAACTCAAAGCAAATGCTGAAGTTCTCTGGGCAACCAGTTGGTGAAGATCACAATGAATAGGATGCCAAAAAGGCCTGAGTCCTAAAGGGTTAAGGCCCATGTGCATTCTAGGTCAGGGCCCAGAAACTACCCACAAATAATTTAAGCTTCCAGCCTCTGGGGACTAAGCTGGTGCCTGGGGGTACAGGAACCACTTAAACAGCAGCTTGTTATGGAAAAACCGAAGTGTGTTTGTCAGAGGGGAATCCAGCCTAAGGCACTCAGGGGCACTAGGAGGACTGAACTTGACTCTTTAAGGTGCAGATGCAGAACGGTTCAGAAACAAATGCAGATGGTTTATATTTTTACAGATCATTGAACAGAATGAGTTGCAGAGGCTTGGGGATGTAGTTCAGTGGTTAGAGTGCTTGCCTGGCCATGTGGGAGCCCTTGGGATTTCTGCAGAGCACTCA